TTGGGTAGTGGATGTGGAGTAATTGAGTCAATTTTGATAGCGATCCTCAAGGTTTTTCAAAACCAGTTTCTAATTTACCAAGGAATTGAGCACCTGAAGCTTTGTATTACCCAGTGAGAAGCACGATAAACGTTTAGTTAATTGGGGAATAAATCACATTCATACTTCAGTGATCTGTAATGACTTGTACATCAATAAGCATTTAAAAATTCTATTCAAGTTTGCAATTTCTCCCATGTAACTAGTGGAAAAACAAATGTGCAAGGTGAAATTACTTGTCCAAATTTCCTTAGTGGCAAAAAGCTAAACAATATAGGATGAAAATATGTAAGTCAAAGTTCCTTTTTCATCCAGTGGTATTTGTCTCCCTGTCTTTGATGTTTACGACTTACTAAGTCATAATCATAAGAAATGGCCAATATCTTAATCGGTTTTGACCTACAAAAACTACTTCATGTGGTTCAAATTAATGTTAATAGGATACTTAAAACCACAGCATGTCTAAATTCAGAAGAGAAATTTCTGCAAACATCTTCCTAGTGAAGGTGCTAAAATAGCAAAAAAAATGTTTCCTAACACTGCAGAGAAGTTGTAGAGGATAACATAAAATTATAGTAAATGACTTTACAAATCCCAGTATTTTATAAATGTTATATGATAACATCTAAGGTTACAGATTGCCTATGCTTATTAGTTAACTAAAAAATACAATGCCAGGGAGTCCAAAGTTATAGATTTAATCCCTTTGTCATCCTGTTGACTCTGCTGTGCTCCGTGACCCAGTGTACCCTTAATTTAAGTTGTCTTTTAAATGCATGTCCCAAAGCAGACGGTGAGAGATAAGGATAAGGACTGGATTGGGGTAGAATTAAAAAAAAGAGAGAGAGACCCCCATGACTACCACAATGGAGATAGGGGACACCTAAAAGCAGATTCCTGCACCTACCCGATTGTATATGGTGAGTAAATGAACGGCCAAATGAATGCCTCACTAGCAATGAAGTAGTCTCATTCTTAATTATGGAGGATGATAACTTAAGTGATAATCTCTAAAGAATGTAGAACCATACAATGTGTTTTAGCTAGAAAGGACGTTAAAGATACCTAGTGTCCCACAGCTCCTCAGTGCCAGAACTGAGGCTAAAATTTATGACTCCTTCTTCATGTAAGAATACTTCCAAGATGTCGTCAGATAAAGCATCTTTCTCACCATTAAAAATAACACAATTTTTACATCCTGAATATAGCAGAATAATATTATTTAGTGTTTCAAGAGGCCATAAAGATTATTCAGTATAGTCCCTTATTTTACAGAGGAAAAATCCATGGTGTCAAATATTAAATGCCTTGTCCAGGCTAGCCAGTTAAAGACTCAACAAACTTGGGTCTCCTGATGGCCAAATGCAGAGCACATTCCATGCTGAAAGACATTGGTGTACTTAAAGCTTACTTGCTTTTTATATACTCTGATAGCATATCCTCCAAATGTGGGCAACAGGAAATGTTTATTTATATGCAAGTACATGGGAGAGCAATTTCCATTTGTGTTTTTTAAAAATATGTTACAAATAGTTGTTGATACATTCATCCTTTGCACACAAAATACATTTTAACTTTGACTCTCAGTATGAATTATAATTCTTAATAATAAACATTTAAGCTACAGTGGACAGTCAGGTGTTTTGGCTATTTGGCAATCTCTTCAATAAGGAAAATCCAAACTTTAAAAGACAGTTGCTATGTAGAGAGTATTAAAGGTGCTCCTTCATTGAATCCTAGAAGATTGAATGAGTACTTCTCTCCATGATTTGTAGCTGTCCTTTAAAACAGTGCAAAGGACTTTAGAAATTCTCTGTAGGATGGCAACTGAAGCAGTCTTCATGAAATTAACTATCATAGCTAAACAATAAGCTTGTGGAAAAATCCTTGGACATATTGGGGAGTTAGCCATTACTTAGGGGTCTCCTAAGTGAACAATTGATTTAAGATTCTAAGTTGCATTCCCTAAGTAGGAGTTTAAGGTGTTCTGCTTAAACGAACACACATGACTTGATTTGCAAGACTAATTCCTTTTAAGAGAGATGTGAAAACGTATGTATGCAATGTTCATAGCAGATTTGTAATAGCCAAAAATTGGAAACAACCCAAATATCCATCAACTGATGAATGGGCAAATAAAATGTGGGATATACATATAATGGAATATTATTTAGTCATAAAAAGAATGTATTGATTTATGCTACAACATGAAACTTTAAAAACAGTATGCTAAATTTAGAAGTCAGACACAGAAGACCGCATATTATATAATTCTCTTCATACGAAATGTCCTGGATAGGCAAAATCTGTAGAGACAAAGTAAAGTAGTGTTGCCAGATGCTGGGGGAGGCAGGAGGGAGAGTAACTGCTAATATGTATGGAGTTTCTTTTTGGGATGGTGGTTCTGTAGATAGATAGTGGTACTGGTTGTATGGCTTTGTAAAAATACTAAACCCCTGTACACTTTAAAGGGGTGAACTGTATGGTTTTCAGTACTTTCACTGTAAGCATCTGTACTTATCACTGTGTAGATCATTATAAGGGCTAAGATTTATATATAATACAGAAATGGGAGTAACAGTTTCGTCAATGGGAACACGAAACCAAATTGACAACTAGCTTAAATGTGTTGTCTTAAAAACATTAAGGCAGTTGATTTGTCAATGAAGAAATGAAACTAACTATCAACAAGTTATTTTGTCTTTTTTACAGCGGTTGATTCGTCAATAGAGAAATGAAACCAAACCAAAAAAAGTTATTTTATCTTTTTTTTAATAGCAAAATGGTGCTATGAAGAATTAAGTTATACAGCAAAAAGTGCCATACACAGAATTATATGGTATGTGGATTATATTTAAATTTTTTAAAGAGAGATGCAACTTCATCCCTCCTTTTAATATTGATTGAAGTTTCCATACAATCACCCTTCTACAGAATGTTTTCAACTAACTGCACTCTGGTCATTATGGGCTTATATTTCCAATAGGCTTTTTATTAAGGGGAAAAAACATGATCACATAAGACATGGGGGGAGGGTTCAGGGCAGAGGGGAATAAAGGGGAGAAAAAAATGGGACAACTATAATAGCATAATCAATAAAATATACTTTCAAAAATACATGATACAATGCACTGTTAATATCTGCATATTAACACTTAAGAGCCAAGTGTTATGTTTGCATTGAAGCTGATGGTTAGACTTAATACACTGGTGTATTCACATATTACTGAGAGCCTATGCTTAAAACCAACAGCCAAACATTAAGAATTGAGTTCATATGATTTGATGATTAACTGTTTGTTAAAACTAAGTTAAAGTCCCTGTTTTAATAAGAGATAGGGAACAGGTCAGGACGGGGAGGGGGGAGTGAAGGACTCTTTAAATCTTCGTAAAACAGCTTCGCTAAGCATTTTTACTAGCTGCTGAGAAGACCTCCAGAATGATTTTTTGCATTTTATTTCATCCCTATACTAAAAGTCATGCATTAAACCATATGCAACAATATATATGGGGCACACTTTTCCCTTTATATTATCAAAAATCTTTTCTCAACCCTTTATTATCTGAAATTTTGAGCAGTTTTGGGGGGTTTTTCTTTGGGGGTGGGGTTGCTGAAAACAGCAATGTTACACACCTACACTTAGGTACACACTTACGCGTGTTGACAAATGTGTTTATATAGCTCCCTTACATACTGTCAAAGGCGCTCCAAGCATCTGGTATGTCTAGAGGAATGGAAACTTCAGTGAGCAAAACTCAGAAGCTAGCATTTCAGTCATTTGAAATGTTCTACAACAGCGACTTGAAAGCCCCAACACAACTTAAAGGGATAAGAGGATTTTTAAAAATTTTATTTAAATGAATTAACATTCATTGTCAAATAGCCTATAAGAAAGTTCCACTAGCATTCTGCAGTTGTATAGGACAAGAGAATATTTATTCCTATTGATTGCATTTCAGAAAGCAATATGTTTAGCAGCTGTTTTTCAGAGGGCTTATCAATTCTTGTTACTGTTATTTAATCCAGGCATAACTAACCTTAAACAAAAGCTATGCAGCATTCAACCAACTAATTACAAGGTATCCTAACAGACCAGAATCTTACCTTTTGTTATTCTGTATGTGAATTTTTGCTTAATTAGACATTTGGTGTTCCAATTTTTATTTCAGAATTTAGTGCAGACATAAAAAGGGAAAGAAACCCAGTTAAATTTCAATGTTGGTAATTATGTCTACCAAATAATGTTATCTATGAAAGTTCTAAAAGCAGATGACATAACTAGAATTATGACTTCATTTTTACTAAGAGGAAGAAACTAGAGCCACACAACCAGAATAATTCTTCAGAAGCACACTTTGTTATCAATTGTGTTATATAAAGAAGAAAAATACATGATAATTTAAGAGTTAGAGAACAGATCATGATCTAAATCATACCAATAAGAATTTATTAAACCTATCCTGACATTCCTTCAAGGAATAATTACCACTTTAATGAGCTTTTCTGTCATTTTTACAAATGAGGCAAAAGGGCAATAATAAATGGCAAACATGACCCCTTGAAAAGAAGATAGGACCAACCCATTTTTCTTCCCATGAAGAATAGGATCAAGAAGAAAGAGGTTCAAATTGCGCTGTGAGGTATTTCAGTGTTAAGGTTAAGTTTCCTTAATGAGGATTTTACAACCCTGGTATTGCCGATTGGGAGAAAGAGAATGCCTTTCCTGAAGTATGTAAAGAAATGAAGTCTTGGGTAACAGTAGTGCCCAAAGGCCCTTTCAAAAATAGAGCTCTTTTCTTCTAATCAAAAAGGATTCTTTGTTTTGTCTTAAAGACCTTCTATACTTGCATCAGAGCAGCCAGTCTGCTCTTAATCAAAGAGAAAAGAACTAACACTTGAGTGTTTACTGTTTACTAAGCACCACACTTTCAATTTATCTAATTTTCACAATCTTGACAGGTATTATGTCTATCATAGATGAATGAACTTATGCTCAAGAGCTTGTACTTTGCATAAAGTTCACTAATTCATGGCCGCACCGGGACTCCAGACACCTCATCTACTGCTCCCCCTCTATACCTCCCTACATCACTCCCTTACATGTCAGAATCACAGCTAAGGATTCCATCAATAACTAGAATAAAACATCTCCAAAAATTCTGCTTTAACTCATTGGGAAAGTAAAATTTTGACTCATGCATCTCAGGAAGCCAAATAAGAGATGGATAGCTTTTATGCTCTGTGCTTTTAGCTAAAGGAATCAAAGAAAGTCTCGCCCCAACTCAAGTGTTTCTGTGGATGCAAGACCAAGGAATCTTATCGGCACAGCAAGGATGCAGGTGGAATCATTTGGGTGATGGGATGTATTAGCAAATGTCGCTTATAGTTATCTCTGATTTTCAAAGACCTATGTTTTGTTACTTTCTACATGAAGCAATTTGGCCTCCTTTCTGTTAAAATCATGTTCAGATCATGGTTATTTTTTTCCCCCTCAAGAAAATCAAACCCAGTAACCAAGTGTTACTTTTTTCCAAAACAGATCTTGGGGACTGCTTTATGCCAGTCATTTATTGGCCTGTCTCCGATGGGAGCTGTGTAGCATCAGGTTGGTAATATTTATGGGATCTTACTCAAGATTCCACTCTACTAAGAAGGCCTATCCTGAAATCCTGAAGAAACATCTATTATTCCCTAAACTGAGCCTGGTCCACTTTTGGAAAGTGACAAATACACAATTTTCATGATTTCATGTAACATTTATTAAAACGTCACCTTTTAAAAAAATTTTAAGTTTGTGATCTCAACAGGACATCAACAAATGGACTGACAAAGGAATTCTAGCCTAGGACAGAAGGGCAAGTAGTCTTTTGGCCTAACAACAGGTAATCAACCTCCTCCTGAGGGGAGGGTACACTTTTGGTAGAGAAGCGAAGCCTTTTTTGTTTCTCTTTAACCATTCGCTATTGGTCAGCAAGTATTTAATTGAATGTATTATGAGGGGCAAAGCACTGCAACATAGAATCTTAAGTTAACAGGCCATCTGGTCCAATGCCTGATCAAATCTGGGATCTTCTCTACGTCATCTTTGCTGAGTTTTTATCTAATGACTGCCTGATAGAGACTGGCTGAAGCAGCACCATCATGGTGAACCATCTTTCTGAGAACGTTCTGCCTGACATGGAGCCCAAATCTGTGGCCCTATTGATTCTTTTTAATAGGCCTCATTACACCCCTTTGAACCACAGAGTCACTCTAATGAACTAATTGTATTCCTCTTTCCCAAGCTTTACCTCCAAAAATCCTTCAAATAGTCAAATGTCTTAAATTTTAAATCCCTTAACCATCTTTTTTTATGCTTCTATTTGTTTTTAATGTCAAGGTATGGCTTCCAACATTCCAATGTTATGGACTTAGGGAAGGAGATGAAGTGTCATCTTCCTTGGCCTAACATTATGATATTAATTAGTTGTCTGAAGAGATGGTAAGTTCTTAATTCAGTATGTGTTCTACCCAATGTGAAGAACGTAAGAGAAAACAGTTTTCCTTATAAACACAAATAGGCTCATGTGACAGAAATGAAATCTAAAAAGAAGGAAACATAGCCCTCTCTTCTCCCAAAATTGGTGTTCAACTATATTGCTTATGTCTGAAAGATGGGAAACACACATGGTTTTTTTCACTGCTTTTGATTTTCTGGTTAAGTATTAAAAGTATTATTACACTTGCTTTAGAACATAGCTCTCTGGACCATGAATGAGCAAAGTAAGTAACCAGTTGCAGTTAAAAAAAAAAATCTAGATGAAAGAAACAGCAAACCTTAGGGAGCTCTTCCAGAGGCTAATGTGGCTTGGTTTACTTTAAAAAAAAAAAATCATTTTTTTAAAATTTTATTTTTTCAAATACATTTGTCATTTTAGAACCCCAATTCAAAATCACTTACAACTGGTACTTACTCAGAATGATTCATTATCTGAAAGCTGATGCTAACTCTGGAAGCATGATGGGATAGCTAAAGGGTAAATGAGCCAGATCACTGACCTAACACTGGAAGTCACCAGTGTCTTCCACGGGCATCCATTCATGAGCAGAAGAATCCAGCTTCCTATTAAATTCTCCCTCCACCCACCAAGTCTAAATTGCTTAAAATAAGCAATCCTAATCCAAGTATCTTACTGCCAGTGGCTTTTATCGAACTCTAAATCAGTAATTGACACATTGTTAAATCAATCCATTTGACGTTCATTTTTAGTTTTCTTGCTGCTTTACTCAGGAAGAGATGTGAACATGAAATGACTAAAAGGGAAAAAGAAAGGCCAGGAAAAGCTAATAGACTAATTTAAGTAATCCACAGAAAGGGTAATTGGCCTTGCATAATCAAAATTAAATGTTAACATAATTCAATACATCTAATAAAGGCATATAAAGGAATAAAAAGCCTTGCATAGGTAAAGGAGGAAGCACAAAATCCTTTGAGGATACAGTCTACACAAAGCCATAATAAATCATTAATATCAGCAAGCTCTATGATTTCACAGATTTTCCCAAACCTGACTCCATGACATGAATGATACATTTCCATTGCCAAATATTTACTAACTTTATTAAAACAGGAGAGATATCACACCAAAAATGCAAGTAGTTGTGGAGTCTGACAGTCTTATGAGTCAGACTAAGCCAAACTGAATTATGAGAAAGCAACTTCCTTCTTCATCCACCATTACATGAAAATTCATTTTTATTTAAGAAGACTCATCTTAGCAAATATTGCCATGACAAGAGCTAGCAGGCAAACAAGTAAGTTTAGGCCCTGGCCCATGTTGAGATGACCACGTTTAATTAATGTCCTTTCTCAAGTTCTTTTTGAGAAATTTCTATTGGACCAAAAACATTCCTCTTGGCACTAAGTTTTTTATCCAACTATACGTACTAAGCACCTACAATATTGTCAGGGATTATTTTCAAACGAGCTACATCCATGACCAACGGTCCATAAAGCCCAACGTGGGATTCACACAGCTGGGGGGAAACAAGGCCTACATGCTCATGTGGCCTGCTGCTGGGCCACGGCTGCGCGACTCAGTTACAGGCCGGCTGGAAGGAGTAATGGAAGAAAGGGGCCAAGATCAAAGCTTTCTAATCCCCTTGTAAGTGCCCCCGACTGCAGATAGAGGAAGGTGAGCCTCAGGGAATCAGAATTTCAGAACACAAGAGTGACTCTAAAAGCTGTTATTTTACATAAATTTGTCCAGTCTAACAAAAGTACTATTCTCTAAATTCACAGAACAACTTTCTATTTTCCACACACTTGCTGCTGTGAGACAAAGTTGGGTCATGGTGTACTAGGGTAATTGGATTTTTGCCCTTATTAAAAGATAATCTAAACTTAGGCACATTTCCTCACAGTTTAAAAAGTTCTTCTGTCCACCTTGATCAACTTGTTTTCTGAATACTTTAGTTGCTGGCTTAGTAGGGAAGAGGGGGGAAAAGCCAACAGTTATAAATTCTTTTGGTTAGTCTTTATTAAAACGACTTTTCTTTCCTGTGGAGATAGATTCTAAAATAAAAACAATTCAAACTTCTGGGATCTTTTACTCATACGATAGAAACACCGTGGGGTGAACCAAAAGTATCAGTACCTTAGAGAATAATGTCTAGTCCACCTGTGCAAGAGACGGGTCACTCGGAAACCTTCTAGAGAATGCTGGAAATGCTTTATCAATATTGTGTCTCTACATGACTCACTTCTTTAAAGTTAGCTTTCCAACCTCAATCTATCAGGACCGAGATTGCCACCATCTACAGAAACAGTGGAATTACATATTATATCCTTATTCCATTACTCATCCCTCAGTTATGCTAAGCAGCAAGCTACTTAAACATCTGATAGCATTGATGGCATACAGGTTTATTTTTCCAATTTGTATTTATACTAGCAAACAAATTGGACAGTATCAAAGTATGGCACTGAAGAAATAACACATATTCAGCAGCATGTCTTCCATTTTTGAGTCCTGGTTTGAAATTGGCTAAGTAAAGGCATATACACCTCCATATGAATTGGAGATTTGCAGTAACACATGCATGTAAGGAAAGGACAGAATTAGGAAGAGGGAGAGAAGAAAGAGGAAAAGAAAAAAGAGACAGGAAAGAATGTATGTCTGAGTGTAACAGTACTACACAAAGGAGGTGACAAATAACAATTAAACCTGCTTCCACAAGCAGATATTTTCTAAGGTTATCATTGAAGATACAAAAATGTTTCATGAGAGATTGCATCTGTTGCTATTTTCACTTATACTAAAAACCTACAAAATCCTACGCCTTGGTCTGTCCAAGATAGATAGTCCCGGAAAGCAGATGTGACCTGCTACAGGGGCTGCGCTCTGCTTGGAAGTCCCCACTGCAGTCCGTTAATCCACAGTATTTTGGTCGGATCTGGTCTGTTTTCTCATACTTACAATGTCTTAGAGCTAATCCTTTATATTAGAATATTATCTACCTTTTTTTTTTTCATTTTTCCATTTTTTTCATTTACTTTTTAAAGGGCAGGAAAGATGAGAAAACAGAAGAAAATGGTTAAGATTTAAAGGGGAACATCAAAGAAAGTCTTCTCTTTTCCAACAAATCCACCCTAGAAAAGGTATAATAAGACTTTGAGAAAGAGTGCTGATTCATGGACTTCCCTTATTTTTTTTATTTCTATGAAATACATTTAAGGACATAAATGTACTAAAACATTTGGTCTGTGAAATAGAATCATTAGCACCAAAAGGAGTTGTGGAGCTTGTATATATTATTAAAACAATAACTGTGAACTGTTGGTCATGGGTAAAAGTTGCATTTCATTTTTTACATCCCAAAGTTCTTGAAAGTGCCTGTGGACAAGAGAAATAACACTTTTCAAAATCTCCATGGGGTCATCAACACGCACCATGGAGACAGTACTTGGCCTTCCCAGGTGTGGTTATCTGGTGGACAAGAAAACCAAGGCCCCCAGAAGCCCCAAGAATAGCCCCCACATGCACCCACTGATGTGCAGGAGGGATTTCTCCGGACTGTGTTCAGGAATGCGCTTTTGCTTGCTTTTTAAAAAAACAAAAGCAACATGCTCTGCAGGTCATGGAGTGCCTAGTGCAATTTTTTCCTTGCTCTGCCTCCAGACTGCAAAAGGATGAAAACATTATATGTTCTGCTAATGCCGGCCTGTGGACCAGGCCCCGGGCCTGCCATGCTTTGTAAACTCAGGAGTCAGAGGGTCCGAGGGCGGGAGCCACCATCATCGCCAGGTCTTCCCCAGCAATATGTGGCCCATCGGGGCAGCTGCTGATTCCTTCGCTTTTCCTTGCCTCAGCCTTTAGTTGAAGTTACAACAAGTCAAATAACTGATGCTTTTCCCTTCTCCAGGTAAGGGTGATGATACATTGTTCACAAGTGTGTTCTGCCTGGCTTCACTGATGAGGCGGCACGCTAAGTCAAGGAAGAGTTTCTCCACGTTATCAGATTCCTTGGCTGAGGTCTCCAGATAATACATGTCCTGGGCTTCAGAGAATTCTTCAGCTCTCTGCTGGGAGACCTCTCTCCTTTCAGCCAAATCAATCTTGTTGCCTAAATGGGTAAAATCACAGAAGGAATCATCATTGGCTTTTTGTAGGCTCACGAACATCAAAATTCATTTCCCTATCTGAAGTCAAACCAGACAATGGGCAAGTAGGACCAAACAAATGGGAGTGTGATTACTGGAATGTTTATTTTTAAATACTAGTGCCATCTGTAATGGCAAAGAACTGGAAACAGCCCAAATGTCCACCAGTTGGTCACTGGCTAAATAGCTATCATACATTGATTGTTATTTGGAGTTATTTGCCACTGTCAAAAGCAAAAAAGAATCTCTCCAGGTAGTGAGACGCTAGGGTATATTGTTAAGTAAATAAAGCAAAGTAGAAGAAAGTGTATATAATATACAATTGTCTATCTAAGAACAAGTATAAAACATATACACACAGTTTATTTGCTTATTTTTTAATGGGAGAATAAACCAAAATCTTAATTTTAAAGATAATGGTTACCCATTAAACAAATAAGGTTAAGGGATAGGGAGGAATAGAAACTAAACCTCTCTAAATATACCTTATTTTATAGATTTGACTTCAGAATCTAAATGTTTTACATAATTATATAATTAATTTTAATTATACAATTATTATGAAATTTTAAAATTCCTAAAATTGAAAGAAAACTAAACAAATGAGCCTGTTTGTCATGAAGTGGCATAACCACACAGAGTAACTATTCATGTGTGTGTAGAAGACAGTAATTTAGCTATGTGTCCCCAGTCATATATACCCCAAGGACAAAAAAGAGTTGAAGGAAAAGATTCTTGAATTGTTGCAGTAATCATCTTCTCAGTGGTAGTATTAGCATTGTTATTCTGAGGCTGCTATGAATGTTTTTTGGGGAGAAAGCAAATGAGTAATTATTCAGGTAACACTGGGGCAGGGATTTTTGGCATGAGAAAAAGGAACTATAGATACAAGGTTAATGAGGTTAAGCCCTGGCTGGTGTGGCTCAGGGGACTGAGTACAGGCCTGAGAACCTAAAGGTCACTGGTTCCATTCCTGGTTAGGGCACATGCCTGGGTTTTGGGCCAGGTTCCCAGCTAGGTGCATGTGAGAGGCAACCAATTGATATTTCTCCTGCACTTTGATGATTTTCTCCCTCTCCTTCTCCCTCCCCACCCCGCTCTCCGAAAATAAATAAATAAAATCTTTTAAAAAAAAAGACTTATGAGGTTAAGTAAAAGTTCTAAAGTTCTAAACTATAACTGGAAGTATCAGCATGAATAATTCATGGCATATTTTATCTTTAAAAAAATGTCTACCTCTATTTTCTGGGAAATCTGACAAAGGTGATGTGTCAACCATGTTACTTGGCAATATTTTCTATAATAAATCCCACTTGGCCTGGGAATTCTGTGAGGCTGTCTACCCAGATTTCCAAATCATGTCTTGCTAGAATATACAGTAATGTTCCTTCTTAGGAAGAAAACATTCTAACAACCATATATTATTAACATTTTTCCATCACCACTAGAGGAATTTTTAATGATCTGATATGTCACTGAAATTCCATTCTCAAAATGTGTATTTGTCACCACAGAAAATCATGGGCTGTATTCTGCTTTGCCCCCACACGAAACAGTCCCACTTTCCTACAAAATGACACAAACTACAGAATTTCCCTTAGTAGATTATCTCAGAAAATTAGAATTTCTTAAGTCAGCATAAATGTAAGAAGGGAAAAACTTAAGACAAATTCCATTTTTTAGGCAAAAAACAATTGCTTCAATAGATGAATTCTTTATCTACTTAAAAGATACATTTTACTTATAGATCAGCATTTCATGATCTTGTTATTAGATTTAAAATGTCTGGCAGTCCCCATGACTCCATGGCAGTCGACCTTCTTCCCTAGAGCCTACATGGATAGAAAAGTCAATCCACAATGTTTCCTATTGTACTTTTCTAAACCATCACTGTGGGATCAGACCTATTTCACTTCCTCTTTGATTGCAGAGCTGAATGTTGACTGCTTGAATTATAGAGCCATAGACTAGACTATATTCTTGAAAGGGACCAAGGCACAAGCTTTATGTGACTGTAAATTCTCTGATGCCCCCAAAATCAATTTCTCTCCTCATTAGTCCTTACTTACCAACTAGCACAGTGATGACCTTGTTGCTGGCATATTGTTCTATTTCCCGCAGCCACTCAGGAAGGCAGCGGAAGGATTCCTCGCAGGTTATGTCATAGGTGAGGATCAAGGCATTGGCGCTTCGGTAATAACTCTGGGTAATGGACCGGAATCTCTCTTGACCTGCTGTGTCCCAGATCTGAAGCTGTAAAAGCATACGAGAAGGATCAGGTTGGAGAAGCAGAAAAGAAAGAAAGCACTGCTTTACTTTAGTTCAGAAGCGGAAACACCTTCACCCAAATAATTTCACAGTTATTTTCTGCCCTAATGAAAAAGCACTTAATAGCTTTTTAAAAAATCTGTTGAGTGTGTCTGATTAGGGACAGGGGATTGCTTTGGGGTTTTTTTCTCTTTGTTAGATTATTTAAAAGTTTTCCCCTTTATTTTTTTTATTTCCTTTATTGAATTTATTGGGGTGACACTGTTTCACAAAACCACCCAGGTTTCAAGTGTATAACTTGACAAAACATCATCTGCACACTGCACTGTGTGCCCACCACCCCAAAGTTTCTCTCCATCCCAACTTACCCCGCTTTGCCCACCTCCACCTATCCCCACCCATCCTTTCCCTCTGGCCAATACACCACTGTAGTCTGTGTCTTTGAGCATTTATTATGTGTTGAGCTCTGCTCTAAGCACTTTACATGAAGTAACTCACTTAATCCTCACAGTAACTATGAGATAGGTACTTGTATTGTATTTAATTGTCACATAAGGCACAAGGGCATTAATTAAGTTGCTCGACATCTCATAGAGAGCATGTTCCAGAGCCAGTTCAGCCAGGCGATATGATCCCAAAGTCTATGCTCTTCACCACGATGCCATATTATGACAGGCAGGATACAGGGCAAGCTGTCATCCTGTGACCGCGGGCATTTCAGTCAGCAGTGGGCGAGGGAGAAAATCCAACCTTACCACCTTTACCAGTTCAAAATTCAATGATTCTATTGACTCTATTACGGTACTGTCTTTGTTACTGCAAACAGGAGCGATGCTAGGGCAGACAAAGAGGATAACTTTCTCCCACCACTTCTGCTCTTTGACCTTGAGCAAGTCACTTAACCTCTTTAGGCTTCCGTGGTTTCTTTTTAAGAAGAGGTCAATAACCATGTACTCCTGCTGAAAGTTCACGTTTTCCGAAGTCATCTACCAGTTCTATGACCTATAACTGATGGTCCTAATTACAAAAAAAAAAAAAAAAAAAGGGGGGGCAAAACACTTTTCACTTCTCCCTGAATTTCCCTGCCCAGAGCAAAAGATGCGGAGCGAGAACTGTTCTCCAGAGAGACCACTGAGTGCGGAACAAATCCGAAAGCCTTAAGAAATAACAGTAATAATCTTCACTTTTAATTGCATAAATTTCACACATCACAAAATGCATTCACACGCATCAACAGAACATCCTTTCCTCAGAGAAGGCCTCAGGCAGCCTCCAACGAGGCCAGGTTCCCCGTCCCCACGTCGCCCCGCACACTCTCTCCTGCAACCCACCCTGTAACTCTCCCTCATAGTGCTTGACATATTTGAATCATTTATTTAGTTGTAATAATTTGTTTAATAGCTGTCTTCCTTACTAAACTGAACGTTTAGTGAGAGGAAAGTCAGGGTCCATTTTACTCTGTCTTCCCTGCACCAAATAGAGCGCCTGGCACATAGTATAGGCTTTTCAGATATTTACGACAGTCTCATCTAGTCCTTAGAGCAATCAGTGGGTTAGGCAAGTTTAGGCCTGCCCTTCATTAGCAGGCGGCTCCAACTCCTAACTGGTTCCTCACAAAGCTGGGCCCCAGATGCCAGGCCTTCTCATGCCCAGCTGGGGGCTCATTTCAGGCCACTGTGCTGTGTTCGCTCCCAGAGACTGATTTAAATGTTCATCGGCATCCAGACAGGATGAGTCAGCTGGTGTCACCCTCTGCTCACACAGTGTAGGGGAGGAAACTGATGCGTGATGGTAGGTAGTCCCTGCCACCAACTAGTGGCACAAAGGCCCTCCTTCAATTTGGAGTTACAGCTACTCGTTGACGGTGCACAGGACAGTCTGTGGATGCTGAAGGCGACCATACAGATGTTCCAGCTTTTGCCCGGACAAAAGTTATTTCTCTGCTCTGCCCCAAATATAGGAACATGGTTCCCCTCTGCCAGGATCTTAGAACAACAGACTACTGCTTTAATGCCACGCTGAGCCTCTAAAAACACTTGTGATGGGATTTAATACTGTCAATCATTAGAAATCAGTATGTTTGCATGACTGGCACTTCTTGAAAACAGCTTTGAGAATTAAAGCCACTGAAATATTTTCTTAAAAAAGTGACTGTATTGCCTTGCCAAGATGCTTTATCATATGAGGCTACCTATTTTTAGCCGTATAGTTGATTTTTGAGATATCCATATTCCATTGCCTTTATCATTCAAGTTGGTTTTCACCGTTCCCTCTGCAATTCACTTGCTCCTTTTCAGCATTTATAGCTAATCAATATATGCAGAGCACTGTACTACACACAGGGATGATATAAAGATGAATAAAACACAATCTCTGACCTCAAAGAGCTCACGGTCTATAGGGAGGATAGGCACAATATTAACTAACCATAATATAAAATATGAGATGTCCTTTTAAGAGTCACCAGCAGGAGAAAACGTCTCCTAGTGTTAGTCTCGTGCCCATCTGTCCTCTTTACCACAGCCATGGGCTTCCTGGCCACTGTCGCCTTCAGCATGGGGCTACGCTGTTCACCTACTCGCTTTCTTTACACCACTACTTACACCTCTGTTGTCTCACTGTTACAATAACCTATTGCAATCGTTGGTTTACTGGGGTGTCTCCTTGCTAGACTGAGCTCTTAAAGGGCAAGGACTGTTTCTTACTTAACTTTGTACTCCCAGTGCCTTCCTAACAAGGTTCATGGCGCATGCATGGTGGACCCATTTGAACAATGGCTAACTGAATAACAAAGGCTGTGGCATCACAGAGGAAGAAGTAATTCTGCATAATGATTAGTAGGGTATTAAAGAGGTTTTCATAGATAAAATGTTTGAGATAGATGATAGTAAGTTCCTAGGGAACAAAGGTGCTTTGTCTAACACAGTGCTTGGAACAAGGCATGCACTATAACACATGATGGATGAATATATGGATGGATAGAGAGTCAAATGAGCAAATGTATGTGCATACTTTCAAGGCTTTCCCATCTATACAAAACATATATTAGAGAGAAATACAAAAACACTTCTATTGCTGTAATGAAACCCCTAAAGTTAAAAGGCTTTAGACTAGCTTAGAGTTATTATTTACTTACAAAAGAAAGTACCAATGGATGGGAGAAAATTCTATGTATGCTTTAATTATTACATTTTCTACTCCAGGCACCTGTAGAAAAGGGCCTCTTCCTCGAGTTTGCCTTTACTGTTTGCGCTAGAGCTATAAGAATCTTTCTAATGTTGATTTCCTGTCCTCAATCCTGGGAGCCCTCCTAGAAAAAGCTGAGACGTGGCGGGGAGGGGAAGTCAGGACAGACCTGTCTCTGGCCCTGCCCTCCCGCGCACCCGGCGGGTGGTCTCTTTTCCACGGTCTCTATGGAGCTCTAAGAAAGGCTGCAAACTACTAGCAAAACAGACCTTGATCACCAAGAAGAGGTGCCAGTAAATGCTCAAGAAAAAGGACAACAAAAAGACAGCAAGTATTTCCTTAGCAAATGCTGGGCCACTCTGCTCTCTTCTACTGAAAAGATGGAGGAAGGCGTTCCTCATGTGTCCAAGTGTTAATCAAGCCCATGGGTTAATGTGGCGGAAAAGGGTCATTTTGTACCTTGATTCTACATATGGCTGGAGAGAATCACAGGCAAATGGGTTAGGACTTCATCAGGGAGACTGGCCAACCCTCACTTCTTATGAGTGAAGGTCCAGAGGCCTAAACAGGTGACAGTGACAGGAACTGTGCTGCGAATACAAAGACGAGTAAGACACAAACCTTGCCTTTGGGGAGCCTGTGGCCTCAGGATGGAGTCAGATGATATAAAAAGATGGATTTTGAGCTGAGCACTTAAAAATGAGGTTATGGTTCGCAGGAAGTGGGATAAATCTAGTAACTAAACCTGGGGATTCAGAAAAGAAAAACAAGCCTGTCCTTTAACAGCATGGACCATTTCTTACTCAGCCCTATCCATTCCCAGTGCCTGGCACTTGGCAGGCACTAAAATTTCTGGTGAAAGGAAGTAACTCATGCATATATATGTACATAAGCGGGAAACCCAGACACTTGGAAGTAAAATGCCTGAAACAGCAGTCATCTCCGCTCAGCTCCTCCGCTCGCCTGGAACAGCACATGGCTGCCCCTGCCAATGCCCGGGCTGAGTGCACGCACCTGTCTCCCTCCGGTCCCCACACCCTGGCACCTTCTTCCCGCCCCAATGCAGTACTTTTGTGAGCCTTCCGGTTGGCATGTATGTGGATTTCACACTCTGTTTTTGTTTTCTAGAGCCCCCAGATCCCCATCACTATTGTGTTTGGTATAAATGTGTACAGGAAGGAGCCACTCTGTAAAGTCATAGCTGGATGAGACACTGGAGAGCTTCTGTCCCCCACACAGGAGCCTCGTCCTAAACACCTTTCTGCGTGTCTATGAAATGGTGCAGGAGCACCCAGCAGCTTCTCTGCCCTTCCCAAAGCGTGCGGAGACCGGAATGCAGGTGCGTGTAGGAGAAGGGTACAAATGACACGGACTCGAACTTGGGAAGCTTTGGTTGGGATCTAGCTGGGACTCTGATGCCACAGTTTTTGCTGTGCAGCGGAGGCCAGGGTTGTAGCTACTTTCCATCAGCCTGAGGTCCAGAAGATCTAACAGTGGAATTTCACTAACTCTAAGGGGCACGTCTCTCTACCCTCCTTGCATGTGATTTAGTCTCATTTCACCTTTTCATCATCTTCTTTCCTTGCTCCAAGGTGATGAGCTTATTGTGCCTTCATGTCCCTCTTCTTTCACGGCAGGGGAGACCCCAGGAAGACAGTGGGGTGCACCAGCTCACCAAACTGGTTCAGGTCCTGCCTACCTTCCTTCCTAACTGTGAAGTCACAGGTCAGTCACTCAACCGCTCCGAAACACACAAAATGAAGAAAATTTATTATTTACCTGACAACACATGCAAAATCCCCTAGCAGAGGGACTGACACATACTAGGTACTTGATGAGCACTATCTCCCTTCTGTTACTGGACTCCTGTTAAGAACTTCTGTTACAGTTCTTATAGGTGCCAAACTATCCACAGGTCATGAAGGGGAAGGAAGGAATCATGGAACCCTCCTTTAATATTTCTCCCCTGCCAGGAATGGGGGTATGATGGGAGACAGTAAATGATCCGTCTGACTGAATAACCCATAACCTATGTAGGAATCCATTGGTTCTTTCGTGGGGCTGCTGTTCAGAAGAGGTAGCATTGTTTCCTGGCCCAGCTCAGGAGAGCCCAACAAGAAATCTCTTGTCTTTACATCTGACATGACAGAAGACAAGACAAACCTGCCTCCGCTCTTCCTTCTCTCCCTTCCCCAGTGCGAATGCATCATCCACAACCCCTCCCTGCCCCCATAAAGGGAATGTTTAGAAATAAGCCGCCATGGCTGAGTTATATTACTTTCAATGTGGTTTTCAATGAAGAGATATGATAAATATTATGAAAACACGACTTTCTCTCACATAGCACAATAAAAGCCTTACCGAAAACTTAGCATCTTACCTTTACTTTTTCACCATTAATCTCCACTGTCTTAATCATAAAATCAACTCCAATTGTGGCTCCTTGACCTGGGGGGAAAAGGCCCTAAAGGGGAAATAATGAAAAATAACAATTAAGCAAATCTTTCAATTAAATAAAATTTTCCTACTTCCCCCATCACTACCCCTCCCCAGTCCCTTCCTTTGGCTGAGTTCACCAGTAGAAAAAAGAACTCTGGTTAGAGCCCTGAGAGCCCTGTTTAATTTAACTTCGCATGCACATATGTATGTTTTCAGGGAAGGAGAAAGGAAGAAGAAAGAGGGAGAAATTCTGAACGAAAAAGGAAGAAAGGGTACAGGGGACAAATAAGGAAGAGGAAGACAGAGAGTGAAGGCAGAAACCTGGGAAAGGGCCAGGGGATCCAATTTCAAAAAATGAAACAGAAAAGTCAGGTACTAGAGTAAGACTGAGGCGCCTAGAGCCACAGGGATGAGATCAGGATTGCTAGGGTAAGGGCAGAATGGGTAGGTTCTCTAAAAGAGGTAAAATCAAGGAAGATTAAAAGGAGGACATGAACAGCCATGGGGGTGGACACCCAATGTGAGACACAAGAACTCAGTATGAAAATGAACGAGGCAATGAAGCTTTTGGATTTCCCTCTGCCCTGTGGGTCATAACTATGTAATTACATGAGATCAGGGCCAATGATACTGGGAAGAAAACTAACAAAAATGAAGTCACTCAGGAGAAAATGTAGTAGGAATAGCATTAAACCAGTAGGTATCAGCCTTGGGATCTCTGTGTGACCTCAGGCAAACCAGATCCCCCCTCTGGGCCTCCAAGTCAATCAGTTTGAGGCTGACCTAAGCATTTCAAAATAAAGAAAGTTTCACCTCACTCATCTACTGATAGCTGAGGTCAAATTTTTAAGCTGTGGTACATTTACACAATGGAATACTACGCAGCAGTTAAAAAAAAGAAAGAAAGAAACTCTTACATTTTTGCAACAGCATGGGTGGACCTGGAGGAAATTATTCTAAGTGAATTAAGTCAGTCAGTGAAAGAAAAATACCACATGACCTACCTTATATGTGGAATCCAATGAACACAATAAACTAACAAACAAAATAGTAATAGAAGCTTAAACACATAAAACAGACTGGCAGCTGCCAGCGAGGAGCGGTTAAGGCAAATGGGATGAAAGATGGTGAAGGGATTAACCAGAGAACATTGATACACAAGCCATGGACACAGACAACAGCGTGGGCATTGACTTGGGGAGGGGTGGGAGTAGGGGGTAGGGGTTGAGGTGGGGAAAGGGAGAAAAAGTGTGAACAACTGTAACAGAATAAACAATACACACATTTACAAATTTTTTAAAAAGTTTAACCTCAAACTGGAAGCTACACAAGAAAGTTTTCATCAAAATCGCATGTATAATATTACATAATATTTCCTGTAATCTTAGGGAGGGAGATGGAGGTAGAAAGGAATTCGATCAAGAAAGAACATTTCACCTAGTTTCTCTTCCTTCTTCACTTACATTCCAGGATTTCCAGAAATTAAAGTAAAATGGACTTCATTAGCTCTAGCAGCTAAGATTGGGCCCTCTTTAATTAAGTCCATTCCTTAACAAGAGCATTCTTTAATTAATGTTTAAACTTAAAAGACTGAGCTTCAAACCAACAGAAAATGTTCCACTGCATGTCTGCAAAAGATGTAAACATCAACATTCATAACTTTACTTACAAATATTGAATCAATTTTCTTCTATTTTGGTTTGGCTCAAACACAAGGCTGCCAAGCTTCAAGTTTACAGCTCCAGCTGTTTTGCAGTCTGACAAATGCCAAAAATTAAAACAAATCCTTCCCAGTGTCTTCTCCCCTCATTTTATTCCCCAACGCCTCATGCCTCAAAAACAGCTGAATCCAATTCATTTTAACTGTCTACTAAATAACAAAAACAAACATAATCCTGTCTATGAAATACGAACTTTTGGGGGAGCTGAGAGACTGGGAGGGGTAAAAAGTAGACAGAAATGAAAAATAAGGGGTAGAGTGCGTATTGATAAAAATTAGTATTAAAAAATGAACACATTTTTACCCCTACTGACAAGGCTTATGCTTTTAAAAATAAGTGCAAGATTCCAATGGTTTCAGAGATTAGAACACGCAGGAGATAAAAATGAGTAGGCTGAGAACCAGGAGACCAACCTGGGTTCTAATGCTGGCCTTGCCACTAACATGATATGAGGTACTAAAAAATCATCTCATCCCCAGTTTTCATCCATAAAATGAGAGGAGTGGGCTGAATAATCTATAAGGGATCTTTCGGTAATAAGACAAAGTCAAAAGAATTTTTGAAAAGGGGACTAACGACTTCTCTACATCTCTGCTGTCTTGTTCTCCTGCCAAGAACAGAAAAGATTGCTAATGTCAGGTGGAAGTAAAACCAGTGGGAGTTTCCAGTGTAACACCATGGTGGTTTTGACTGACCCCAGATGTGTTAGTTAGCTTGTTACTTATGATTTCACCAGGCTAAGATTCAGTAAAAAGCACAAGTTCTGTTGTGTCCGTTATCATGGGGGGAAACCCTGGCATTTCCAAAGGTGACTCTCCGTCCTAGAGCCGTTTGTCTTATTCAATCTGCCTCTCCAGTTTTCTGCAGAACCACGGACTGTTACTGCTGCAAGTGGCCTGGGAGATCACCCCTCGTGCATCAGGAAGGCAGGAAGGCTCAGCAAGGGTGGGTAACCCACCCAGGCTCACAAATGAGCCAGGGGCAGAGCTGGGACTAGGTCTTAAGTCCCGACTCTCAGGCCAATGTCCTTTCCATGGCACCGAGCTGCCCTAAGCCTCAGATAGAAGAGCTAGTTTCAACTTTCCCAGCTAGCACTTCATGAAAATGCAAGATGCATGCATGCATAATACCAAAAAGGATGCCATTCATATCTTTTCTGGAAAAACACAAAAGAAGGTCAACCTCAGAATGATTTCCCACCATTTCTGTATAAAAACAAGTATTTAATCTCTGGCAGTAATTCTCAAAAGGGCAGCCCCAAAGGAAACTTGTACTAGATCATAAGATAAGGACTCAGCCCAGAGAGAGAACATTTGATTTAGTTCAAATAGTCCTTCACCATTCTCACTTCATTCCTATTTAATAGATCTCGAAAAATCAGCATATCTGGTTCTGAACCAATATGATTCACTCAGTTTTCTGGGAGGACTTGAGTGGGCAGAGGCAGGGAGTTTATTGGTTTAATTTGTATTTACATTTTTTAATTAACATTTACATTTAATTTTATGTCAAAATTCATTTGTTTCCATTTTTGGATTATGATTAACTAAAAACTTATTTATTAATCTAATAATCTATTTTTAATATTGCACACTGAAAGCAAAACGACTTGCTCCCTTTCGGTAAAGGACGCAACAAGAAGCTTGGGAGGATGGCGGTAGCTCACACAGCCACACTCCTGTGAAGTGGTTTAAAAAGCTCTAGTCTACGCCACAAAGCCAGTGCCCTTTCAAAACGTCCGTTAACAACCGGCAGCCAAGAGGCGGGCCCTGGGCCAGTCACTCATCCTAACCCCACGGGCCAGACGGAGAAGGCCAACCCTGGACTTCTGAGTTCTCTTACCTGAGTGAATCGTCGGACTAGGCACGTCTTCCCCACACCAGCGTTGCCAATTAAAACAATTTTAAACAGGAAATCATAATCTTCCATACTCATTTACACAGCTGCAAGGCAAACAAACACAGCAAGAATGAGACGGGGCCTGGTCAGGCTTGCCCGCAGAGCTCAAGCTGCGCCGGCCCTGTCTCCTCGGGAACAACGGGTCTGACTCATTTGAAGAGCAATTTAATGCTCCCCTCTGGTGACTCTGCCAGTGAGGAAGGAACACAGGTGTGTGGTCACAGATGGACTTTATTCCTTCCCAGTCACCTCACATGACAGAAAGTAAATGTCACAGATGTCTTTTCACCTGGTAACCTTTATTCTTCCAAGTAGTCAGGTCACAGGTCACTCATGTGGTAAGATGTTTTCACAGTGGAAAGGAGATTACAAACCCATGTGCAGTCAAGCTGGGGGTGCAAGGAACCAGGGCAAAGGGGAGTCCATCCAAAGCTTCAAGGTGGTTTATGTACAGGCTGTGTATGCTTCTGGGAGGAAGGGCTAGGGACTAGGAGGCCAGATGGAGGGGAAGAAACTAGCAAGGAACTTTTCCATTTCTCCTAAGTTGTGGGGCCTCGGGGTCTCCCCAGTGGGAGTTACCGCCGTCTTTCTCTTCCACCACCACCCACCGCTCTCCACCTCCTGCCGGCCCCGCTGACGCTGCAGGGCTGCCCAAAGTGCCTGTCTCCATTCCTAGGGGCTTTGGTACATGGCCTTTCCTCTGCCTGGGATGTCCTCTCTCCCACTCTTTCTGCACCAAGAAGCCAATTCTTGAAGGTCCAATGCAACCATCTCTTTCTTTCTGAATTTCTCACTGATCTTCCCCAACTAAAGTTAAACACTTTCCCCATTCCTCTGTCCTACAGCTCCACTTACTATATACAATTATTTGTTTCAATGTCTAGCCCATCCTCGAGGGAAGGGATTACATCTTTCAGCTCTATCTTCCTAGCTCACGGGACAGTTACACCTAGCAAATGGCTACTCTAGAATTAAAGAATTAACCAATGGTCGTATTGCTTAAGTGTAGGCCCCAGTTTCTCCAGTTATGCTAAAAAGAATATTATATGCTCTGTCTACTTCCGAGCACTGCTGTGAAGATTAAAAATAAAACTATACAAAAGAGCTTCAGTATCCATCAAGCCCTATCCTAGTGAAAACAATTGTAATCTACTGAGTACCTATGATAGTACTGCGCTAATCACCATAGGAAATACAGAGACAAGATAATATCTGTCCTCTAGACTAACATGAGAAAACTTAAACAACAACAACAAAGTTAAATTCAATTCAAATCTGCACAGTGCCCATTTCCTAAGATGTAGGCAGAACGATCCCAGAGGACTGTAGAGGAAGAGGAAAAGGACGACGGCAGGCCCAAGAGGGGAAGGAAGCCTGGGAGAGCTGGAGAAGCCTCACCACCGGCCAGGTGAAGGGCAAATAGCTGCAGGGCTGCGGGGCAGAAGGAGAGCCCACGGCACTGAGATCTGTAGAATCCCTGTGTGCAAAGGTGATTTCTATGTGGCGTTCAACTGATCCTAGGAAAGATGACTGACAACCAAGCCAGGTGCAGCCAGCAGCTCATGGGGACCTGTCTTAGTTCATGGGACCAGGAAAAGAAAATGTTTCTCTGTCAGGAGCCTGGGTCCATCGGGAGTTGTTGCACTCACTATATGCCAGGCAATGTGCAATATTTGGCACTTGATGTGTATTTCCATTTGTTCTCACAAGTCGATGAGGCTGGTATTTATGTTTTCTATTTTACGAGTAAACTGAAGATAAAGGAAATTAAGAGAGTAGCCTGAAGTCAGAAAGCTAACAGCCAGACCTCAGGTTCAAGAGGACATGGTGTCATCAAAAGGACTCTAGCTTCGGAGCCAAAGAAGCCTGGGTTCACATCTAGAGGGCACTGTATGGCCCTCTAAGTCTGTGCCTTTGGGCAAGTGAAAATTTTTTAGTCTTAACTTCACCATCAACCAAATGGGCTAATAACATCTAGATCACAGAGTTGTGATATTTGAAGTAATTAACGACCCCCCCAAGAACAACATCTGACTAAACAGCATTTTAGTCACCCCAAATCCTCAACATGACTCACTCACTTTCCACGGTCTGGTTTCGCCCTTCACTATTGCCAGTGCCATCTCTCTCCACTCTCCTCACGCCTCATGCTCCAGGCTCACTAGATTTCTCCAGTTTCTTAAACACCACGAGATTTCCCTTTCAGACTTTCACATATACTGTTCTTTCTGCACACAACACAGGACACAACCTCCCCTCACCGCCCCCAGCCTAGCTAACTTTTATTCCTCTTTAAACATCACTCTCCCTGGCATGCTCCTCTGACCTGTCAGGGAGGCTGGGCACCCTGCTATGTGCCCCTGCAATGCTCTGGCCCTCCTTTAGTAAAACTCACCATGCTCTACTGTACTTGATCATATGTATCTGTCTCATACTCCAACATCATGCCTCAACATCTCAGCCCCTCCCACACACACACATGCACGCGCGCGCGCACATGCGCAGGACCATGAGCAGCATGAGAGCAATGAAGTGGTTCCATCCTGATCCCAACCTGTCCCCATCATCACCATCTCACTCTACATTATTAATTATCTTTATTCGCCAAACAATCCTGTCAGGTGGACACTATTAGCATCCTAACTTGACAGATGGGAATACTGAAGCAGAAGAGAAGGTAAATGAAAAGTGGTTAAAGCCTCACTTACTGCTGGGTCCCACTTAAGCTGTGGAGCTGGGGTTGGAACCCAGACCGCCTCAGGCTGGTGCCCATTTCCTTGAACCACTCTACCCTGTAGTGCCTTTCACAATACCTGGCTCATAGCAGGAGCTGAGGAAAGATGAATTAAATAAGGAAAGGTAAGCACTAAGAAATGTGATTTCCCTTCTCTCTCTGGCTTCAAATCCAAAACTCTTTTCTATCACACTGTAGTAATCTAAACAAGAATCAAGGTCAAACTCTGAGTAAAAACTCAGGGACACAGTATATTAATTAAAACTCAAACCATTAATAATGAAAAGGAACTAAAACTCAGAGACAGGCACAAGGGTAGCAGAAAGACTTGAGACTCTGTGGACCACCCATGGACCACGGCTCACCACGTTCATAAGCCTCTGAACAGGGAACACAGGACGGGGCTGAGATCTTTTCCTGTGCTTAGATTGTTTGCCACACATTTACTTCTCCATCTTTGGCAGAGGTCAAAGAAACAAGTAGAGAATACGGACAACAGCATCCAAATATAAAGACCTGAGAAACAGGGCTTCTAAGAGAAGGGTATTGGTGCCCAAGTCATGAACCTTCAGGGAAGGAAGGCAAAGAGTTACTTGCTCAGAGTCAACGTTCATAGTCAAGTCTCACGTAGTTACCACCTGGAGTGAGCCACAGAATAAAAACTAAGGCCCTTCTCCTTTCTATAAGAAATTACTTTAATGCTCTGTTGAACATTGTTGTTGTTGTTTTTTAAATAAACATCTGGGGGAACAGTGTTTGGTCTATTTAAAAACGCAGGCTGCTGGGGGCTAAGGCTGTACACCAGGTTACCTTCTGTGGTTACTGTTTTATTTCTAACAGAAAACACAAAGCTGAATCAAAAGCTCACAAAAGTCTCTGGAAACTGCCCTCTGAGAAAGCCCTTCTGTTTGATAAGTAATGTAACAACAGCTCAGGCATCTCTGGTCACCCCTGATGAGGCAGCTTCCCAGGAAGGGAAACCCAGTAAGAAGCAATCAGTTACACCCAGCCCTAAACCGGCAACAGAGTCACACCTTGTCTGGGGGGCAAACCTATCCCAAAATATGCCACTGGCCAAGCACTATGCTAGGAGTGTTACATTCTGTTATTGTTAATAATAATAACTGCTGACATTTATTCAGTGCTTATGATGTGCCGAGTTCTCTTCTGTTAACACACGTATTCACTCATTGAATCCTCCCAACAACTCTGTAAGGTAGGGCCTATTATTATCACCCCTAGCTTTCAGAAGATGAAACCGAGGCCCAGAGAGATTATCCTAAAATTACACAGCTGGTTAGTCTTAGGACCAGGATTCAAACCCAGATCCCACAAGCTCCAAAGGCCGGCGCCTTCTGGGAGAGGGTGCCCTGCCCCTTGCCTCGCGGTCGGCAGCACTGCTGTGTGTGTCACGAGGGCTGGAGGCTCGGCTGAACGGAGCCCCAGCCCTTCGGAACTGCAGCGCTCGAGACAGGGCCACACACTGATCCCGGGGCGTACGACAGTGCTCCTCCCTGTACCCCCCAGGCTCAGGTTTCTTTCAGGCCCCAGACCCAGGCTTTGCCCTGCACACCACATCCGCAATTCCGTTGTCATTAATCCATGTAACTAAGCACCAGGCGCAGGGGATGTAAATAGGATCACTACTCAGACACACAAGTAAAACCCCAAATAACATAATGACCACAATAGCTGTAAATAAACAGACAAACGTCTAAGATTCAAAAAAGGAAAAACAGATGAAGGAAAGGGGAGGATCAGTGTAAAAAAGATACGGAAAACATGCACTTTGCAAAGTTTAAAGAGAAAAAAAAAATCTAAGCAATGTGATTTTGGCAACACAAATCATACATCAAAGTGCAGTTTTTAAAAACAAAATGGCAGTGTGTTCACGTTGTCCATCAGAACATTCTTCCCCTTGCCCTTTTGATCTACTCTAACAGATAAAGTCAAGGCCAGCAGTGAAGACAAGGCCAGGTCCTTGTTCTGCCTTCTGATCCCCAGACCTTGGCCAAGGACATATCCTTGTTCAAAAACCATGCGTCTCCTTCAGGTACTTTTCCCGTTCAGGGTCTCAACCTCAGCCTGTGACCTAACGGGGCTGGGTGGGCAGGCGCCACAGCCCCTCCCCCGGACAGCGCGAGCCGCCGCCGCCTTCTGCCACAGGGGCAGCAGCACCATGAAATCACGAGACCTGGGTCTGCCCCAGAGCTGTGTCAAGTTCCCTCCCGCATGAAGTGGGGATACTATTAGAACCATTTCCGCGGAATTGCTTGGGAGGTGAATAAAATAATAGGGGGAATAGTGCCC